CAGATCCTCCAGGATCCGGAGCTCAAAAGGTGTTTTGGGTTTTGGCAAGTGAGGACTTAGGATTAGGAAGCCTAGGGTGTGAAGCCGCCAAATCTTTGCTATCTCCAGTTTAGCTGCTTGTTGAAGCTGTCTATGGCTCTACCCAATTCCTCCTCCTTATCACAATACTCATTCAGGATTCGATCAAAAAACAACAAGGCGGTGCCAATTCTAGGACAATATGGGGTTGTTGTCAAAGCCTAGGAAATGGACCTGAGACTAGTAGATTCTGTGTGAATCTTCCAGCTATGAATATGTGAGATTGTTTGTCCCTCTAGGATGACTCTTTATAGGTTGACTTCAATGTTTAATTGGGATTTTGAGGCCGCATATCATAGGTGCCTCTTTCAAGTTACTTTGCCTCCCTCTACTTGAGGGGCTACCAAAAACCTAATTCATTTGAGGTTACAATTTGAATGAACATTAATCGAGTAAATCGGCAGTCCTGAAGAAGACTTTCATGTTCTCCTGTTTGGTTAGCGGCACATGTACGATTTAGTGGAGGCACCAATGGAGTGAGACCTCTAGATGTGGCCTCAGGATGGACTCCTACTTGTTCAGGATGGGTGCTTTTGTAGTCCGGCTGTGTTTGGTTGGACTTTGTAAGTAGGTTTTTAGGCTATGAAGTTCTTGGACATATGCAAGTGGTGTTTGATCATTTTTTTCGGAGAGCTTTGGGATTATGTCACTGCATTTTCAAAATCCTCCAAAGATCGTTAGCCCAATGCAGCTCCTAGTCAACATTGGGCATTGAGCATTTCTAGAATGCTAATTCATTTTTTTTCTTTCCAACTTTGCCATTGCTAAACTTTTGAAATTCCATGTTTACCCTCACCATTTTTACCTCACACGACATCGTTGGCAAGCCCAAATCTGATCATTGGTGAGCTAGATCTGTTGCATAGATCTAGCGCCAACGAGCCTCGCTTGAGGCTGCGTGACCCCAAGCAATCCTCGTTGAAGTCATGCGAGGCGGCCCTTGCCAAGGTCACACAACCACAGCTTTGGGGTTGTTGGGGCGAGTGCCACCAGTGCCAGATCTAGCTCAATGGTGGCATGAGCTGTCGGCTTGAGCCCTTCGTTGACATTTGGCAAACTTATGAGTGTCTCAAAGCTAAAGAATGATAGCGCAAGTTGGCTCAAAACAAACTCTCAAGAGCAAGAGTTTGGCCAAATTATTTGGCCACATCGGATAATTGGTGCAGTTAATATATCCTAATTAACCCATAACTCATTAGCTTAAGTTTTTGAGTAAATGTAGATCCAACTAGATATGTTGATGGATTCGGACTTGGGCTTTCTCTTGGCAATTTTCCAAGACCTAGGTATTGAGCTTCTACTGTGCTTACCCAACAAATGGTATCATAGTCTATTATCAGTATGGCGTGTGTGCGTTCACATATTAATTTGACATTGATTCCACTGCCGGTATATTAGATTTGCTTTTGTATTCGGGTCAGCAATAACTTGTGTCACAATTTGTAACTCACAATGCGACAATAACTGCAACATTCTTCTTAAACACCAGCTACACCATATCACCCTCTGCCTTTCTTCTATTTATCAACTTCCAAGCCATGATACCACTAGCAAATTGCTATGTCTAAGCTTCCCAAGCTTCCCAAGAGATAACTGCCCCGTCTCATCAGTATGGATACAAAATTTAGTCACCAAGGTTCATCATAACTTCTGTTCCAAGAAACAAAAAGGATTCATCATCTTGGAGTTCATTCTGTAAGATACCACAGTGCCAGGGGACCAATGAGATGTCCCCCTGAAGCCCCAACAGAAAATAAGGAAAATGAAACCAAAACAAGCATGCCGACGGAGGCCAAAGGAAGTCACTAATTATATGGCCTTTGAAGCCAAATAAGAAATTATCTGTAAAACTATGCTTTCACATGGAGACACACTCATGTTTGTTGCCAGAAATTCAAATATGAAGAAAGTAAAAGAAAAGAAGGAAAAGAATAAAAGAAAATGTTCGACATGATTAGAACCAAGTTCTTCCAGAGTGAGTGCACCATGAAGTAGTTCGACTGGCCAGTACACAGTGAAGGACCGGTTTGTTAATTTTTCTGAGGAAACTGAATTTGGATCAATCATCCTGTCATAACCAAGTGGCTTCCTCCACTCGGTAATGCAAGCTTAGTTCGTCATTTCACTTGGACAAAAGTATATCATCTAACAGCGATACTTGACTGACATGCTAATGGGGTACCAAAGAACTAATCAAGTGTTCTCATTTCCAGACATTCATCCTATGTCCATAATACAACAACACTAAATATGCTTGTAATATAATTGCTACATAACATAGTTCCTGTAATACAGGTAGGCAAACAACTTGACCCTGACCCTATACAATGTGACAACCCAAGAATGCATCATCTTCGAGGCCAATTTCAGTGATCTGGCTCACAAAGCATTAGAACTAGGCAATGGGGAAACAGAGAAGATGCCCAGAAAACTCAAAATGGCACACAGTAAATTATACCAATAGCAAGGTTTTCCTTGACTAGTGAAAAGAAAAAGGGTTTTCCTCATCTCCAAAAGGTACGAGTTAACAGAAAGCTTATTTGCAGTACTATTGGAAAACAAGTTCAAATGGGACATCTTCTAACGTTCTCATAGATTTTCAAATACTAGCTCGATAAATCAGCAGATCAACGTTTTCCAGGCAATAATTAGAAGTTGTTTGTCTTGAGTTGACATTTAAGGACACATGAAACAACCAAAATATTTGGTAGAGATACTAAAGAAGATTGACCCAGAAGTATTGGCTGTGTCAATGGCTATATCGTTCTACAACTACATGTCTACCTAAGGCAAATCGACAATTTCATGGGTACGCTTTCAAGGTCACAAGTAATGGACACTGAAGCTTCTTCTACCACAATATTATAGCAACTTAAGCTTGTTCAAGAAGACAATACAGTTAGGCAGCCCACATGTAGAAACAAGGACCTAAAGTTGCACCATGATCAGAAACCTGACCCGATATTTCCACTTGAGTTCCACCCTCTCAAGTCATCGAGCTTCAGGACTGATCAAAAGTTTGCATGAACTCTGAAATTAGCAGGAATTCCGTACATTGATTGCTTTTATTTCTCCATTCATTTGTGTGATTTCCTGAATACATGTCCTGGGTTCATGAAAATGCCTTCCAAACACATAAATAGTTCTCTCGAGTTGTGAACTCCACAAATATGACATTGGTCCTTTCTCAAATTTAGCTAATGCTGATTTCCAAAGATCACTGGTTCTCTCATGTCTTCCGAGATTTTTCTAAGCTTCTTGCTTGATCTGCATATTGGCTGCCACAATGTATCTAATTGCTAAGACAGACTGAATCATTGTCTCTTGCTTGTTTGGAAGTCCTCAAGTACTTCCATGTATCATATACTGTACCTGTATCCTTCTTTCAACTCGACTAGTCCCCACAGACATATGCAAACCACCACATCCACATGCATCGGAAAAAAAGATGCATTGGGCACTGAAAACTCACTAATCCACATCCAAACCTGCTGGAGGCAGCCGTGGAAAGATACTAGCCATTTTAACATCACTAGACTCATGTACCTCCTCCTAGGCAAAAAGGCTGCTCCTCTTTGCCATGGCACAAACAACACCGGACTCAATAGCCTTTTCTTGAGCAACAGGGAGCTCAAAGTGCTCTCTCTCTCTCTCTCTCTCTCTCTCTCTCTCTCTCTCTCTCTCTCTCTCTCTCTCGCTACTTAAGGAATCTCATCTTATTATCTTTCCTCCAGCTGATTACACAATGAGATCCTCTTCTATGTCCCCATTTCTCTCTCTCTCTCTCTCTCTCTCTCTCTCTCTCTCGCTACTTAAGGAATCTCATCTTATTATCTTTCCTCCAGCTGAGATCCTCTTCTATGTCCCCATTTCTCTCTCCATTTTTTGGTGTCCAGTACCCTAATGGGATCTAGTAGGCTATTCCAGCAGCAAGAACAGCAGTTGCAGCAATTACTGAATGCTGATAGGAGGAGCTTCTATTCCCACCACTACAAAGCCTAGTTTCATGGCTTTCTGGCGCTAGATCAATGAATTCGCATGTATGTTTGACTTGGAGCATTTAAACTTTTTTTCTTAAAGAAGACTTGATGAATTGGATCTCCATGGGAAAGATATCCACAAAATGAGCATCTAGATATTGACAAAAGACTCCTCAATACTACTTCGGTCTTCCCTAGCACCAGCTTCAGAATCAATGATATAAGAAACCATTAGAATACATGTGGCCATGCACCTAGTGTGTAGGGGAATCAAGGAAATTTGTGATAGATAAGGTCATACTATATCAAGGCGACATAAAAATTTGTCAATTGTCAAGCTAACGAACATCGAAATATTGTAAACACCTGGCAGTAAAAGCTGAATCTCCTATAGATTTGATTTATGTACAATGCGATCACTAAGCCATGCAAATGCTTGGTTGTCGCCAATTTTATGAACTCTGTTACTTCAGGTTTTAATCATTTAGAGATGCTGTATACTTTGATAGCATGTTCTTGACTCTCTAGTAACAACTTGTAGACCCTTCATCACCCAATTTGTAAGAGGATAAGGATGTCAGCCGTCAAAATGACAAATTTGAACTCCATACATGATATGTTTTGGGATAAATAGTATAACTTAGCATTCTTATGGAGGATGACATTGGTGGTTCTGACTCCGAAGGCACAGAGAAGTTTAGCATCGAGCCTCCAACAACTCAAATCCCACTGTGGCTTGATTTTTATTGCAAGCAAGTTAATAACCACAACAAGAAGCACTTTAAGATGCACGCATATTTTGACATTGAAACTGAAAAAGGCACACGTTACAGTGGCAAAACTCCTACAACTATTCCTACAAGAACTCAAATAAAAAAAACCCATTCCATCATTCACCAAATCTCAATGTCGAAAGCTCTTAAAAGGGGAGACTGCATCTCATTATCTCCAGCAAAGAATCAGCATCATTGATACTAGTAATGTACATGATAAACAGGATCATGTTAACAAGTGCTTAAGGAACCTTTATCAAGCATCATATTTGATAAAGAAGGGTTCGATTTCCGAAGCACCCCTTCTTCTTCGTATCACGGGTCGAGTCACTATTGGGATCACATATACACATTAACAGCACCACATTGCAGCCACACGATAAGCACGCCAAAAGGCAATAACAGTTACACAGAAACGGAGTAAAAATTTAATTACCACCACCATCCCACCGAGATCAGACCCACCATGCAGCCAGTCGAGCCCTTCAAGTTTTGATGTCCCTAATGTTTCTCGCGCACCAGGTTATGACCTCGCAGCCTCTGTTGTAGTGGTTCGCCGTCCCGGAGTGGCAGTTGTAGTACGACGCCCCGGCCGTCGTGCAGGGGACCATGTCCCGCCTCAGCGTCGCGTAGCTGATGTACTTCCTCTGCTGCATCAGCAACACCCTCCGGCTGGTCTCCGACTCCATCTCCATCGCCTCCGCCTCCGACAAGCAGTCCCCGATGCTCCGCGAGCACGCCCGCGACGGCGCCGCGTCGATCTCGCCGCCGCTCCTCGGGGCGCGACCGCGCAGGACCGGGGCGGCATTGCAAATGGCGAGGTGGGTGTGGAGGAAGCAGGAGAGGAGGAGGGCCAGGGACAAGGCGGGGGTCCTCGGGCAGTGGTTGAGGTTGATCCGAAGCATCCTGGGTATGGTCTTTTTTTCTCTTTGCAGGTTTTCTTGGGTTTCTTGTCTTGAGGTTTTGTGCGGTGTTCCTGTGAAGGGGCAGAGAGAGACAGACAGGGCGAGACAGAGACAGGTGCTTCCTTTTGCCAAATCGGTAGTTGGGAAGGATCATCAATGCAAAGTTGCGAGACAGTGCGATCTCCACTTTTTGGCTTACGGATAATTTTTGGCGCTACTGTTTACCGGCCAACAGCTTGAAGAGCGAAGATCTTTATAATATAAAGGGATATATACACTAGAAGTCCTAAAACTTATCACAAAAGTGTAATTGGGTCCTAAAATTTTCAAAAAGTACAAACAAGTCCTAAAACTTGTCACGAAAATGCACTTGAATCCTAAAACTTTCAAAAAGTGCAAATAAGTCCTAAAACTTGTCACGAAAGTACAAACAAGTCCTAAAACTTGTCATAAAAGTGCAAACAAGTCCTAAAATTTTCAAAAAGTACAATCAATGAAATGACTTGATTGAACCAATTTGATAAGTTTTAGGACTTGTTTGCACTTTTGTGACAAGTTTTAGGACTTGTTTGCACTTTTTTAAAGTTTTAGGACTCAAGTGCACTTTCGTAACAAGTTTTAGGACTTGTTTACACTTTTTGAAAGTTTTAGGACTCAATTGCACTTTTGTAACAAGTTTTAGGATTTTGAATGCACTTATCCCTGATATAAAGAAGCTGAAAAACAAAAGAAACAAGAACTCCCCACTTTTTATGTGGTCCCCAACCTATATCATGGATAAGCGTGGTGCGCAATCATTATTTGAATTCGAATGTTATTTTAAAATGCCCTGAATAGATCGGATCTTCAATGTTCTTGATGCACTCACGTGACTCTTTTTAATTTTCTCGTGAGAATAAAATAGGGCTGGAACGAAAAATGAAATAGTTGTTCCGTGGTTTGTTTTCGCAAAAATGGAATGGTTATTCCGAGACTATAAGTCTTTGTTTTGGCTTGCCGAAATTATCAAATGTGACCTTTCGTGAGATATGATCAAAGCATAATTACTTTCATTATCGAATTGGCTCGCCCTTTTTCAATCCCATTTTTTTTATTACATATACCCCTACCATCTTGAGTTGATTATACTATTCCTTACAAGTCCCATTTTAGCATGCTTTTGGAACTTTTGAAACTTAGAACCTATTCATTGGAGCGGGTTTTTCATTTTTTGAACCTTGGAACTCACTTTGCACACCTTGAAACTTAGAACCTACCATGTCACATGTTACAAGGTTGGTTTCAAGGTCTACTCAGGTTCTACCTGTACTGTTAATTGAATAATTACAGTTAATCATCATCTTTAATAACCATCATTTGTTACTACAATTCACTGATCACAACTTATATTTAGATATACAAAGAATATGAAATATTAACAAAATAAAAGTTCCGTTATAAAATAAAGATCTTTATAATATAAAGAAGCTGAAAAACAAAAGAAACAAGAACTCCCCACTTTTTATATGGTCCCCAACCTATCATGGATAAGCATGGTGCGCAATCATTATTTGAATTCAAATCTTATTTTAAAATGCCCTAAATAGATCAGATTTTCAATATTCTTGATGCACTCACGTGACTTTTTTAATTTCTCGTGAGAATAAAATAGAGCTGGAATAAAAATGAAATAGTTGCTCCGTGATTTTTTTTCACAAAAATGGAATAGTTATTCCGAGACTAAGGGCGCATTTGGCAAGTTGCTAAATAGTAACTTTTTCTGTTCTTTTGTTTCCAGAATCAGTTTTGGAACATAAATCCATTTGGTAAATTTTTTGTTCCTGGGCACAAATTTATAAGAAATTTGTTCCCAGAATCAGTTTTGGAAAATCAATAAGCAAAAAAAAGTAGCTTCTTGATTCTAGAACAAAAATCAGAAATGGAAAAGAAATTTTTTTGTTTCTTCTTCTTCTTGGTTTTCTTCTTTCTTCTTGGTTTCTTCTTCTTCTTCATTCTGGCCTGCCAGGACGTGTGCCATAGGCCGGGCTAGCGGCGACGGCGTGACCCTCGCCACCTAGGTGGTGGGGCTAGCCCTCGTCGCTGCCTAATCCGAGGTGGCTCGCGGCCAAGGCACGCCCTCCATCCAGAGGCAAGGTCGCCGTCGGCGAGGCAATCCGGCTTCACCAGTAGCAAGGGCCGCGACGCCGCTCGGCCTTGGCTCGTGGCCAATCGCCGATCACCGCTGCGGATCGGCCATGGCCAAGAAAGGGGAAGGGGAGAAAAAAAAAAAAAAAAAAAAAAAAGGAAAGAAATATTAAAAAAAATTAAAATATTATTAATAAAAAGAAAATTTGTGCAGTTACCAAATGCATTTCTGTTCTTTTTCTATTCCAAGAATAGAAATTTTGGACAGTTATCAAACGCCTTCAAATGCTTAGAAATTGTTCCCGAGCACGAAATAAAAAAGAATCATTTTTTAGCAGAATCAGCTTTCGGGAATAGAATGGTTGCCAAACGCACCCTAAGTCTTTGTTTTGGCTTGCCGAAATGATCAAATATGACCTTTCGTGATATATGATTAAAGCATAATTATTTTCATTATCAAATTGGCTCGCCCATTTTCAATCCCATTTTTGTCATGGCATACACCCTCACCATCTTGAGTTGGCTATATTATTTTTTACAAGTCCCATTTTAGCATGCTTTTGGAACTTCTGAAACCTAGAACCTCCTTGTTGGAGCAGATTTTTCATATTTTGAAACTTGGAACCCATCCCGCACACCTTGAAACCTAAAACCTACCATGTCATAGGTTACAGGGTCGGTTTCAGGGTCTACCCAGATTCTACTTGTATTATTAATTTAACAATTGTAGTGAATCATCATTTTTAATGACCATCGCTTGCTGTTACAATTCACTGACCACAACTTATATTTAAACACGTGATGAATATGAAACATTAACAAAATAAAAGTTCCGTCATAAAATGAAAGTTCAGACTAGTGGTTCCATTTATACACTCATCATCGGACGCCATAAGATACTGCATGATCGCGCAAAAATATACACTAAGAAAAACACAGAAACTTGTTTTAAGTTCCAGGTTCCAAGTTACCTACTCGTCGAAATAGGTTTATCAATTTTTGGAACCTAAAACCTATCATGCATATCCTTGAACCTGGAACCGATAGGTTTTCACCAATTCAATTATCAGGTTCCAAGTTTTACCCTATAACCATGCTCACCCCTAATTTTACCCATAAAACGAAGACCATGGTCAAGTATGGGTCCCACTCCTGATATGAGCTTACTTTTTACCTTTTTTTTGTTTAATTTCTCTTTTTTTTCCTTTTCCCATTTGGAAGGAAACTAGTGTAAATTTAATTGGCATGTAGCCAATTAGTTATTGTGTTGATGAGTTGCCTATTTCTTACCTTTTATTTCGCCGTAGGAAATCATTATTCTAAAAATAACCTAAGCACGAGTGAGGGTGAAAAGAATCATCTACTAATTTTAATGAATGCTTTTGGTTTAACTATCAATATGCGTCATTTAATCCGTATATTTTAAGTGCTCATCTTTTATTTAAATTTCGAATTTTAATTTATGAGAAGTTTTAGTTGTCAAAAGTATTGTAAAGCCTTTAAAATGAACTATAACCGTAAACTTGTGCTCTAGACTTTCTAAAGTGCTAATAAACTCAAAATGGACACAAATATAAGTAAATTAGATTATTTGGAAAGTCTAAAAACCACAACATCAAACATTTGACTAATAGGAGCCGAACTTTCCAAAATGGGAAGTTCTTCCCTCTTGAATGAGCTATAGCTCTCAACTTGTGCTCTTAGCTTTCCGAAGTACTGATAAAATCAAATAAACACAATTATAAGTAAAGTAGATAATTTAGAAACTCCAACAACCATAAGATCAAGCATTTGACTTAAAAGGAGCCAAACTTTTTTAGAAGGGAAAAAGCCACCAAAAACCCCAAATTTTACCATTTGTGACACATTTACCCTGAACTTTTTTTTGTGACACCAAAAACCCCAAACTATGCTATTTGTGACACATTTACCCCAATGTACTTTAGTCCATGGGCATTTTCGTCTTTTTTGCTTTTTCTTTTTTTTTTTTTCCTTTTCGGCGAGGGCCGCCCTTGCCGGCGTCGAGCGAGGGTGGCCATCGCCGGCGTCGGGCGAGGGTCGCCTCGCCTGGGCGAGGGTCGCCTCGCCTGGGCGAGCGAGGGCGGCCCTCGCCCTACTCAGCGAGGGCGACCCTCGTCGGCGTCGGGCGAGGGTCACCCTCGCCGGAGTCGGGCGAGGGCCGCCTCGCTCGCCTGTGCGAGGCGACCTCGACGCCGCGAGGGTCGCCGCTCGGGTGAGCGAGGGTGGCCCTCGCGGATTTGGCGAGGGCGGCCCTCGCCCGACGCCGGCGAGGGTGGCCCTCGCCCTCGCCCGACGCCGGCAAGGGCCCCCTCGTCGGAAAGGAAAAAAATGGGAAAAAAAAAGAAAAAGCAAAAAAGACGAAAATGCCCATAGACTAAAGTACATTAAAAAAAAAGTTCTTCTTTATTTAAATTTAGAATTTTAATTTGTGAGAAGTTTTAGTTGTAAAAAGTATTGTAAAGAAATTTAAGTAGTTAAAAATACTCGAATTATAACGTAATGACACGTACTAAAGTTATAGCTAAACCAAAAACATTTATCTAGTGCTTAGAGTAGTTTTAGAATAATGGTTTCCTAATACAATATAAAAGATAAGAAGTACACAACTCATCAACACAATAAATGGTTGGCTATCTGCCAAAGAAACTATCTTGTTTTTTTTTTTTTTTTGGAAAAGATGAACACCATTTTTGTCCCAAATAGAGAAAAGACGAAAAGACAAAAGAAGAAGAAAAACCAAACAAAAAGAAGGAAAAAAAGAGTAATTAAATCAAGAATGGGTCCCATATTTGATCTTAGTATTTGCGTGGAAACATAGTCAATTCAAGGTGGTCGGGCGTGTACATAGTCAAAAATGGGGTGGAAAATGCCGGAGCTTTTATTAATAGTATTCGTATTTATTTTTTTAGTGTAGAATCATTATTCTATTAGAATTGAATATGATTATTTTTTAACTATATTGTGTAAACTAGCAAGCTAAAAAACATAATACTTGTTATTGTATTATTAATTTTCATCATGTTGAGCATATAAAACGAAAATAACTTTGAATTATTGTTTTCACCTTTAACAAAAGCATTTTCGAGACAGTTTCCGTTTTCACAGAAATGAAAGCATAAATTTTGAAAAACTTTTAGCAACCAAATAAGACCTCCGCTTTTGAGGACGACTTGTTTTTGTTGATGAAACTTAGTTAAGTGCAAATGAGAAATCTAATGATTCGCTAATTTATCTTTATTAATAATACATAAATCGAAATAACACTATGCAGATACAACCATTACATTGCACTATTTTTTAAAGTACGGTGAAAAAGCACCGTAATTGTGATGAAATATGATTTTCTGTTTTGTCTTTCGAGCCCTATATGTCATTATCCACCGGTATAAACAAGAATTCTGTTAACAAATGTCTTAGGGTACTTGTTATCAAGCAATTATGGAAGGTTTACACGTTTTGTTAAACATTTCTTATCGTATTATATGTAATCATTATCTCGAAAATTGAATGTGCTTCGCTAGTGACTTGGGGCACCGGTTAATAAGATACTAAATAACTTCTTGTTAGTTTTGGGAGCATATTGGATTTCAAAAGTAGTGCTAACGGAGATGGGGGATCGAAACTCAGCCAAAAAAACACACGTGTTTGCCTTCGGTGGCCACCGACTGCACAAACATTGCAATGTCTTCTACCATTTGCTAAAAGCAGTACAAGAAAATGCTTTGAAAGACTTCCTTTTTTAGTCCACTTCAATGCTGAATTTGTCCCAAATCCAAAGTCACTTTCTTGCCCAGTTCTTTTCCTCCCTAGACTGACTAGTGACTCCAACCACCTGTCAATAGCAACTACCTGTTCCTTCATAATATTTTATCCAAGGCACACAAAACTAGGCCATTCTACACCATCCAGAAGCAGGAGACGGTCCAAGTATTCTCTTCCACAAGTACGTTGTGATTGAGTATATCATGACATGAAATCAACATAAGTTCGCAAAATACATAGGACATCGAACACTTAGCCAGAATTAACAGTAAAATATCTAATATGCTAGGCGCCTCGTTAGCCCATGGAGTCCTGTCGAAAAAATACTCCCAGAAGCACCTCATGATCGCAATAAAATGTGTAACTTCATATATAGAACTATACGCCCCTAAATGAACCAGTGTATGTAACTTCATTTTCTATGGCCTTATTGTTGCATCAAATGAGCGATTTGTCAAAATCCAGAGATACAATCATATTATGAGCATGTTGTACAATGCACAAAGATGATCAATAAGAAACCCAAAGAAAGCTTATCATTGATCTTCAGCTCCGGCTTTACTCTCACAGTGTGAGACGCTCCATGCTTTTAGAATCTCTGGACATTCCAGGGCCTGGTTTTCGATCATCATGCACATCGTACGAGTTTTCCCTGTAACTAGAATTAGCGTCCTCATTCTCCGAAGATCCGGGTCTTTCTGTCAAAAACTGTTCCCAAAACACATCGTTCACTCTACCCGAAGCAGGAGCTGTAGTTTGTTTGTTGTTTTGAGCCTCAGGCAATGAGGAGGAATTTGTACGCTCTTCGTCCGAATTCCTATTCTTCTGGAGAACCCCAAAACCAGATTCTGTGATACTGGCATTTGATCTCACATCTGGAGACTTGCTACTTTCTGGACCTAACACATTCAGACGATTAAATTGTTGAGTTTGGTCAACTTGCGACAGAGAAGATGCAAGAGTTAGATTTAGTTGGCATGAAACATTGTTGTCTCCCTCTTCAGGAGCTAGATTCACAGGCAATGAATGCATCCTTGGGCTTTCATCTACTGGTGGTTTCCTTTGCATAGATGAATCCATCTTGAACGTGAAGGAAGTCCCCGTATCTGAAAGCTCTAATACTTCAGGTGCACATAAAAGGCTCTCCGTTCTCATTGGAGCATCTTTCGGGTCACTTTCTGATGTAATTCTCCGTGGGCTTCCCCCATCTTCGTTTGAACTCTGTGTGCTATTGGAAACCAAATTAATATCCGAAACTGCAGGTGACAGCTCGAGCCTAAGCTTATTTGAGAAATCTTGCTGGAAAATATTTCCAAGCTCCGGTCTTGAGCTACTATGAGTATCCACACTGTTCTCCGCCACTGGCCTTCCATGATCAGTTTGGGGAAGCCTTCTCTTTTTATTATATGCTGATAGATCCAGAGACTCAATTTTCCGAGTCAGATGTTCGACAAAATTAGGATTATGGAGAGCTTTTTCCAGGAATGCAAGCAAATCCTCCTGCCTCTGTTCCATTCCTCCCACTCGCCGGATAAGTTCCTCCATATGATGGTTCCCAATAGACTGCTGCTGCTTGAGCCTCAAAATTTTTACTTCAAGGGCACTTTTATCATGGTTAAGCTTCTCTAGTTCTTCTTCATATGCTGCTCTTTCAGGGTCCACCATCGAACCTTGAGGTTGACTATGGCTATGGATGGGCTTTCTGCGGTGGATGCTTTTGAGAAGATGCTTTTTGTCCTTCACAAAATCTTCATTAGCAAACTCCCATCGCTCAGGATCAATTTTTCGGAATCCCTGAATATGGTTTTCAGTACGAGGCAGGCATATTAGAAACCTGATTTTCCAGCAACTGATGACCCAACCACAATAAGAGCACACCCAAATTGTGATGTGATTGTGCTAGCAAGACCGTGTAAATGATGGCCAGTTAAAAACTGTATTTGAATAAGAAGCTTCTCTGTCTATTTAATTCCTCTATTTGAGAAAGGCGCCATTGAAGGGCATTAATTTATGTACCCAGAGCTGAACTCAAAGTACAAACACACTAAAGTTGAAGAAGTCCAGAAAACACCACACCAAAAGAAAGAAAATAACAAGTACCAGCTGAATCAGTGAAGGACACTGTGATCATGCAGTGAGTTTAAATTAAGAGATCAAATCCTCTAAAGCTCAATGAATATCCAGTATCTGTACCAGATTCAACACGAAGCGCATTATTAGTTCCAAATCCAAAAGGTAAGTTGGCACCTGATTTTCTTAAGAATTTGATTATAGCACTGTAGCAGCCTCCATCTAGAGCTGGCCTGACTGTCAGAAACTAATTTGCCAAGTGAAAGAACTAACCCTAAAGGAGGTCCAGCGGAGGAAGTATATAAAAACTTTGAAGTTATTTCATGAGGCAAGGGCAGTTCACGATTGTTGGAGTCTATATCAAACAAAAAGTGTTGCCAATTTGCCATTAGAAGCACTTCAACCTTGCAAGTTCTCTTCCATTATGCCATCAACTCATCTACGAAAAATGTAAATTGATTTAACATGAAGATTCCTCTGGCTGCAATTTCCTATCAATTCATCTTCACCCTCACAGAAAGCCTAAGATAACTGCTGCAATATTAAAACCACAGAACCCTAACATGGGCTCTAGACAAGACGATCAACCACATTTAGAACACTGAACTACTCTCCACACTGCTCCGTAAAATGAATGAAGCTCGCCTCTTTCTAGCCATACAGGAGATTGAGGCAGGAAAAACCCCCACTCTTAATCTCATTTCATGTGATCGGAACGTATAAAATTCTCATCTCCACTACGACATTGAATTACTTAAAATCAAATTCCAACATATTATAATGTCGCTCTCCCTTCTTCAGAAGTAATTTAATTCAGAGAGCATACCTACTATTTAGAGAACTTCCCCCGTTTAACAAACTTTTGCAGAACATTGACATGAGTATCACCTCAGAGCACCTCATCATAAGATATAACCTGGAAAACTCAGTTTTTTCTCTGGGGGCATAGAACACAGAGTGAACAAAGACTGAGTGGGTATCTGCCAAAAAATTTCTGACGGCCCCCTCACCCCCCCTCCCCCAATCCCCAACCCCTCTGAGTCTGATCACCGAAGAGAGCATATGATTGGCCTTTGGTGCTTTTATAGCAGTGGATGACTCAAGCAACTGATGACAGCAGAGAGAGAGAGAGAGAGAGAGAGAGAGAGAGAGAGAGAGAGAACCATAAAAAATGCTAGCAAAAACACAAATCCACTACACTCTTCCGTTGCCTTTCATCTTTCCTCTTTAGTATTTTTTTCTTTCTATAAATCGTTTATTTTTCCTCTTACCCTTTCTGACCGGTGGACTGACAAAATTTCAATGTCTTTTTGTACATTATAATGCACTTTTCTAGCAAAATTGATGATAAATATTTCTGTTTTGTGTTCCACATACTATGATTTTTTTTCCCTGTCCTGGATGTTCTTTAAGCATCTTACCATTAATTTTGTAAGCATTAAAACCCACTTAATGAGTACTTTTACCATTGATAGACTCTATCATTAAACAACCCCCACACACCCCAAAAGGACTAAAAAACCCTGCGCCAAAAAAGAATCAAATCCTGCATCCTTCACAACTCGAAACCAACCTATTCACTTCTAGAATTACAGTGGAAGCTGGCATGTCCACTACATAGATTCTAGGAACCCTATACTTTTCTGTGGTCAATTTTTCCAGTAATAACTAGCTAGTGGTTGCCAACATAGTTGATATAAAAATAAAAGCAATTCATATAATATAGTCCCTGTTATCTGTCTAAGAAAGTTTTTTTTTTGGTCTAAAAAAGTCAAAAACATAAAACATAAAGCTTAATTGTATCATTAAATACGAAGATGAAAGACAGATAAAAGTACAATAAAGATAATGCTTTGATCCCGAATTACCAAGCTTATAGCAATGCCTATCCTCCAAACCCAACCTTTCTGGCTTCATAACGCCCAAGAAAGATGCTCATATGTATTTTGAAGAAAGATGACCATTTGATATCATAGATAATCTGAAATCATATTTCGGTAGAGAAGACCCCCTAGCCTAGAACCTACTTTTTATTTCCAATTTCTCGACTTTTGTATCTAGAAATACCCAATCCAATTCCTACCGAACCATTCCGGCTTAGTAGGTCACCTTGCACATCTCCAGTTTTCCTATGTCCTCCCAAAATATTCTCCCTTCCACCTCGGAGGTTTAACTGAATGAAATTGGCCAAGAGAAGTGAGTCTTAAGCATTTCTTGTAGACCTAACAAGCCTCCATCAACATGTTCCAAGCAGAGAGAAGAACACTGCCTCCAGGATATCAACATCATTTTAATCTCACTCACACGTGCAACCACACAGAGAGATGAAGTGAACCTTCACGATAGGGCAAACACAAAGGGTCTCAAAAAAGCTAGCCTAATGGCTAGGGCTCAACAGACATATACCCCAATCCTAGAAAGCTCTAGCTCCAAGAATGAAATGATGCAAGAAAGAATGCTCCAACACCAGGTTGATGTAGGAATTCTTGGTCTTAATACCATACTGACCGCTGAATTCCAGATACCTAGCTTTGGCATCGTACCCATATAGATGTAAAACATCATGCAAGATAGTAGTTCTTAAATTAGGGAAACGCATAAGGATCAGAAGAAAAGAAGGCAACAACAGAAATAAATAAACATTAAGAAAGGGAGACACCAGGATTTAGCAAGTTGCTTCCAACTTCATTTTCTAGCTAAGTCGTCCAAACCAACCATGCACGTGGTCAATAGCTATTATGAGGAAAGTCTTGATCTCTTTGATATAGAAAATCCGTTATGATACATAGGTCTACTTATAACATTAGACAGAGAAAATCATTCCCTGCAATCAAGAAATATATCGAAATTTATCAAAGTGATGTCTTTCTATCATGTTTCCGAGACCCAAACCAAACCTCACAAAAATCCATCAAACGATAATTCCTTCTTGGAGTTGCCTTTCCTATTTGCCTCAACCATTTTGAGTATGGCAACACTAGGGAGCGAGGTAACATTGGCAGTAACGAAAGGCTCGGCTCGAGAGACACTATTATTAATACATAAACAAAGTGATCATCAGTGGAACAGTGGCGACATATGCTCCCACAAAGCCCCGAATCAATGTAAAACAAAAGGAATTGCAAAGGAATGGGAAATCGGTCCACCAATTACATTTGGTTATCATTATAAAATAGTTGAGAAATGACTTCAAGAGACGTAAAACACTGACATTCGCGCAGACTTTCAGACATTATCCAGATTAATCAGAAGAAAGCTTAACCAAAAGTAGGCATAATGCACTCGTGTACCAAAGGATTAGTTATTACAGACCCCTGATAGCGGCATATAAGCTTAAGATGCGGAATTCACATTTCTTTTCTATCACAATGCAAGAAGAACCACTGATCAGAAAAAGCAGAACCCATGAAAGAAAGACGCGAAAGCAAAGAAACGGATAGAAGAGGCGAACTGCGGAAACTTCTTGCTCATATAAAACACCAACTCTTCAATCCGACAAGAGATTCGATGCCCCCAATATCATCCACAGGAAAGCAAAGCACCACAACACAAACCCAAAAAGACGACAGCAATCATCACGCCAGCAATCAGAACGAGAATTTTCACGATCAATCGCGACATAGCGGCCAACGCACGCATCAATCCGCGCGAAACGAGACCCGCGATAACCCAAAACAAAACACGAGGATTCCGTCTGACTCACGTAGGTGTTGAGCTGCCTGATGAAGCTGGAGAAGTTGTTGTGCTTGAAATAGGTGGGGAGCAGGAGGCGAGCGAACTCCGGGGGGTTCCACACGACGAAGCTCGCCTTGCCGGGGCTCCACGCCACGATCTCGTCCGTCGCCGCGTCGTCCACCATCTCGTACGTCTTCAGCAGGAACGGCGCCGGGCCCCCGCCGCCGGCGGCCGGCGGCGCTGCGTCCATCGCGGGGAGGGAGAGAACGAGAGGCAGAGAGAGAGAGAGAGAGAGAGAGAATCCACCAATTTTGGGAAGGAGAGAGAGAGAGTCAGGTTTGACCAGGTCAGGGTTTTGGGTAGCCACCCCGTGTTGACTTTTCGGACCAAGCTTTGGACCGTAAAACAACAATGGCGGGTCGAACCGGGAGGGCCGAAGGTTCGGTCGGCCGACGTGTCATTATTTGGGTAACAAATAACCGTTTGCAATAATCCTTATTTTCAATGTATTATATTATTTAATTGGCCAACAAAAAATATATTATATTGCTTTTCATTATAGATTAGGCAATAAATAATGTAACATGTCTTGTCAGATTTTCCCCTGCTTTGGAGGGTGAGAATATATTCTACATTCCAGAGGGGTTTACAATGAAAAATACGATTATTTTTTTTTATTTAGAGATTCTTATAAAAACTAAAGAATAAGTTTTTTAACAAGCATGTTAGATATATAATAACATAAACATTATTTGGCTACGGTCGGGGATGGTGAGTATGGTTATTTGGAGTCATGACCTCATGTTTTTTTTTTTGAGTGCTTAAGAGCAAACCTCGCCAAAAAAAATATTCCTAAAAGTGGTGGGGTTTGAAGAATTTTAGAATGCTTGATAGTTTATCATATTGAGCTAATTTTACGTCGTTTTTAAATTTTAAAAAATCACTTTGCCTTACTTTACACTCTTGCCATCTCAACGCTTATTTTAGGAAAATTTATGGTCAGGGAGTTATCACCTCCGCTGTCCAATTTAGGCCGTGTTTATTTTAAGGAAATACCCTAAAAACGGGACGCGTGATGATTAGGTGAGAATGCGGCACGGTGTTTGCTAAAGTCTTTGATGTATTTGGAGAAAATTATTTTGAGATAGAAGAGTTCACTGTCAAAGAATAACAGAGTACTCCACTAGCCAATGGTGACAGAAAAAGAAGCTTTGACATGCACCACCGACAAAATTAAAGAATACCCTAAAAATGGGACTCGTGATTCGGCTCGGTTCCCAAGCTGAAACCGGACCGGTGCTCACCCCTGTCGTTTGTTTAAGATTGCATAAAACTATTCCCGTCAAAATTTATAAATACCACTTCAATTCGAAAAGAAATTACAAAAAAAAAATTACATATAAATTTATGTTTCAATATATTAAGATATTACAAGTCGGAAAAATGAAATAAAAGTTAAGTAGCTTCATCAATTGAAAGTTCTTTCCCTCTTTTACCCTTCCCGCTGGCTCCCTCCGTTCCCCAAAGTCTCGCAACCTCACTTCCTCCGTAGTAAATATGGCGCTCTTTCAAAGCATCTGCACGCCGCAACGTCTCCCTGCGTCGCTCCCTTCCGCGCTCCGGCCATGCCTCGGCCTGCGCTCCACCTCTTCATCTTCCCTCCGCCCCGATCGCGGCCGCGGCCGCCGGCGCGGTCCGGGACCCCTCCCCCGCGCGGCCGCCTCCTCCCGGGGACCGTCCGGTCCGGAGCCCGAGCCTCGCCGCGGCCCCGGCGGCGACGGGGCCGGAGGGGCGGCGCCCCTCCCGACGACGAAGCCGCGGAGGCCCAGGAGGAGGGGCCGCCGGAGCGAGGCCGAGGCGGTGGAGGACTTCATCAGGGGTTCGCTCGACCGGGCGTTCGCGTCCATCAGGGAGCAGGATCCGGAGGCGTTTGAAGGAGTCGCGGAGGGCGTGATGATGAAGGAGAAGATTGAGGATGAGGATGAGGACGATGAGGAGGAGGAGGAGGAGGCTGCGGAGGTGGGGAAGGAGTTTGTGGTTGAGGAGGAGAGCTCGAGCTGGCCGTTGGATGCGGACGTGGGTTGGGGGATTAGGGCGTCGCAGTATTTCGAGCAGCACCCCATCAAGAACGTGGTTGGAGAAGATGGTTCCGAGATTGACTGGGAAGGGGAGGTGGAGGACAGTTGGGTCAAGGAGATCAATTGTTTGGAGTGGGAGAGCTTCGCTTTCCATCCGAGCCCGATGGTTGTTCTCGTTTTCGAAAGATACAACAGGTTCGATCATCGAAGTCCCCCTCATCTGGACAAGTTGCCGGTCTCCAGTGGCATTAGTATGAGTAGGTTATGATGTTGTATGTAGGAAAATAATACGACAGTATGTTGATAACAAAATCTGGAGACAGCAAACAGCTTTCGAGCAATCCAAAGAAACAAGAAATAGATAATGTAAGATCATGAATTGAGAGTTATATAGTCTTTGGATAGACTGGGGTGGCTGATTATTGAAATACTACAAGAGTTTGGATTTGCATAGCCCACTTTATGATTATTGTGTGGGATTATTGCCACATTCTGTCAAGATGAGAGTTCTGATTCACTTGTTAATGTGATTATTTCTTAGCTGTGGTATCTATACCTTGGGCTACCTGTTCTCGGCTGTAGTCCCTGATCTGGTCTGCATTTTCGCTTACCGTAGAATGTCTTCTTCATACATGTATTGTCTTTGAGTTTGAGCTGTTGAGAAAATTGAGTGCTGTTTTTCTTTTGTTTTTGGTCTTGCAATTAATCAAGAAAGAAATCGTAATCTGTGAATGCTACATCCTATTGCAGGGCATCTGATAACTGGAAGGTTTTGAAAGAGTTAGAAAATGCTATCAAAGTTTACTGGGGGACGAAAGACCGATTACCACCTCGAGTATGCCATAGTCAAACTTCTTTACTTTAATGGTTGCATTTTCTTCGGTCTTGGGGCATTGCTGCTTCTTGAGTTTTAAACCTTTTGTCCTCAGCCCTTTTTACCCTGAAACTTTATTTTTAATATCTTGGAGCAGATCATTACCGATAATCCAGTATAGATGTTGGTGAAGCATGGTGTTTCTTCCCTCTCTGATTGTCATTGTTGTCATTGTAGGCTGTTAAAGTAGATATGAACATCGAAAGAGATTTGGCATATGCTCTTAAAGTAAAAGAGAGCCCGCAAATACTATTTTTACGTGGAAACAGGATTTTGTACAGGGAGAAAGGTAAGATCTAAAACCTTATCTTTATTCATGAGGATGAAAGTTCCTAGTTGCTTTCGATAATCATATCATGATTAGGTTCTTGACATATAATCCTTTGCCTTGTCCATACAGAGTTTCGAACAGCTGATGAATTGGTTCAAATGATTGCACATTTCTACTATAATGCAAAGAAACCTTCATGGGTTGATGGTGCAGCCCTGAATTTACCTTATTAAGTGCAAGTCAGGATCTGGCATTTGTCTTTGGGTACAGGTAGCTGCTTTTGATCCAACTATAAAGAGTATAGTTGCATGCGTCCTTTAAATGGTTAACCATTGACAATGCCTCTACTTGATCAGTCAGTATTCCTCTTGATATGATGAAGAGCGTGTACTAATCAAGACATGGTACATGTCATGCAGATAAGAAAGGAACACACCTTAATGTTACAGACAAAGCGTTAATTATGTGGGCTTTCTTCTTTCTGAGGATCTGACTAGCACTTGTTCAGATATGAATAGAAAATACAAGGGCAATCAGACTATGGAAGGTGACTGGCTTCCTCTTATCCAATGCTCGCTTGCCTCCGTCATGCACTTGTTGATCACATTTAGAAAGGCTTAGCAGGATCTGTATATCGTCCCCTAGAAGTTAGAAAATTGGATGGTTGGTTGCCATCCTTCTGGACCAAAATAAGAAAGAACTGAAACAATCCAACTCACTCAAACAATCTTTGACATGTTGCAACAAGCCACTTGGTGGCCCTCGTCGGCCACAGCGAGGGCCCCTCGAGCACTCGCCTAGTGCCGGCGACCCTTGCCAGCCCTCAACACCCCCCCCCCCCCCTCCAATTTTGTCACAATTTTGCTATTTTTGATCCAATTAAGCCAAATTAAAATTTTCCTAATTGAATTGGGTTTGAAAGCGATTGGATTTAACCCGGGTCAAATCCTAGATCGAAAAAGAGGATCGGTTTGGACCGATCCGTCCAGTTACCGGTTCTACCCTGGATCCATTTGGAACCTTTAAGGGTTGTTGATTGGTCATTCAATCAGCATGGAGTCAATCAGCATGTAGAGCCAACGGCTAAGTAAACAGTTAATATCAGGACTATTGGCAAGATATTTGGTTTTTGCGACTCTATTTGATTTTCTCCTATGTTTATGATTCTTTATATGAAGTTTATGCACCTTGAGAAATTGTTGCAATAGTATCAGGTCTTGTTTGGATATGAATTATCCTTACTGACTTTTGAAGCAGGCAAAGTGGTAGGAGATTAAGAAGTTTATTGAGATAACCATGGCTGCATGAAAATTTCTTCTCTAAAGACATGGGAGAAGAAGGAAGATATCAAATTCAATAAGGAACTCTTTTTTTACTCCCCACTCAATATAAAAGAAGTTGCTTGGTTTCCTTACCAAAAAAAAAAAAAAAAGAAGTTGCTTGGTGTGAGTAACTCGAATCAGCCATATTAGAATAATAAATTAGACTTGTTTCTGGGCACGGTTATGTTTTTTAATAGGGATTTGGCAAGAGGAAAAGCAGATTCTTACCAAAATGTTGCATTTGCAGATGGATGACTGCAAAATATGCTGGAAGCAATTTACCAGACAAGCCACAAATGCATTGATACAGGGAAGCCCAAGTCAGTGGGGAACCATCTTCACATAGGAAGGAAGGAGCTGGCAAGTACCCGTTATCCATCACCTGGAATTACTGAGATTCAAAATGGTTGCTTGGCTCGGATTACAACAGGACTTGCTTCTGTGTGGGATAGTGCAGTCTTTTACTGGTGTTCTGGAAGAATTCTCTGAAATGCTTTAGACTGCAGACTAATTTCCTAGTACAAGTTAATATAAGTTTTTTGGTGGTTCTTGAGAACTTTGTCTCAGTTTTTGAAGTAAATTGCTCTTGCATAACTTTTCTGCAGTTTGTGATGGCTTGTTTTTGCAGAAGAATTATGTTCTAAAATTTTTTCAAAGATCATACTGAGGAAATAGCTCAGCCACATTCGCTTTTCTAAGCTGTGAAACATTCGCTTTTGTCTGGGAGCATAGACTTTAAGTGGATTGAACTAGTAGAGGGAAAACTAGAAGAGAAAATCAGATTCCTCTGATTGTTTGGAAGACGATGAAAGAGGAGGTTTTGAATTAAAGCTGAAAAACTTTCCGGGCAGCCCACTTAAACTAATCGTCCCAATATTGGAAAGAAAGCAAACTGTTTTGCTAATTGAAGAACAAAAATTACCTAAACTTTGTCTTTCTAATATTTCCCTAAATTTTGGTCCTATGTCATGTACGCACCTCCATCCTAAAGGAACATGTTCGCACCTCTGTAATGTCTCCTAGCAAAATTGATTATTTATCATACAACACCTTTATTTTAGGATCTCCATTTACCTACTCCCTGTATACCATAATGTTAACATTAGAAAGGCCTACATTTTTCTTTGCCAATGAAGTACTGAGAGTTTAAGATAGGAATTGCAAGTATAAGTGTATAACTATCGTCTTTCCTTTCATTTCCCTCTCCTTTATTTATCATTCTCCCGAACAACAAAAAGAAAGTAACTCTCTCTCTCTCTCTCTCTCTCTCTCTCTCTCTCTCTCTCCATTTTCGTTCTTTTCATTTCCCTCACCTACTGAAATTTCTTCCAAACACTACCTTTTGTTGAAAAAGATTGAAGATGAGGTAACGACGAACATGATTTCAGATATGATCTCAATCATATCACGTGATGATTTTGGATGGGGACCCTTTCTCATTTTTTATGTTGAAGTTCATCAAGTGGCCTTTTGATTTGAGCTCTTTGTTCTCAGTTTTAGGCCACTATTATCCATCTAAAAGCAATATTGCTCTTGGATTCAGACCACAGTTGATTCAGATCATCAAATCGCATTTTTGATTGCGAATTTTTCCTTCATGATTCCATTTATGTTCTTTTTTTCAGTTTCTCTCTTCTTTTCATTTAGAATGCTTTGAAATTCCTGTTAAGTTAGTTTAGGCATACACTCTTCATGGTTCAATCGGAAGTTATGAGTAGCTAAGCTTTGATTCTGCGCCAGTGGAAACTATTATATTGCTGTATAGTGTAGGGATCCTCAAGACACTGTAAACTTTTGCTGATCCTTTTGCTCGTCAAAATAAGGCTGCAAGATTTTTTTGTTCTAGTGTGAAGCTATCAATTGGGATCAGACGATCATTGAACTCGATGGCTATCACTCACCGGCCTCCGCTTGTGCTTGCCCTTTTGACTGTTTTGTGCAGCCCTTTGATACTAAATGGTGAAAGAACATTAATCTTTATTGAACATTTCTAATTTCTGCCAAAAACACGAGATGAAGAGGACCCGAAACAGAATGTAAATTTTCTCGACTTCGACATTGTATGGGGACAAGAAATCACGAGGAAGATCACATACTACAAACTTTTACTAATGAAAGAATTTAAATAAGGGGTCATAAAACAGATCGACTTCTCTTCATATAGTGTGCATATGGATCGTCTCTGATTGAGACTGGCCTAGTTCGCTTTCAATTTTCGTGTCGGAAGTACTGTGTTCATCTTTCTATCGTCTTTGATCATGACCGGTCGGTTGATGAACGATACTGGTGAGGAAACATGGTTCTACTTTGACTCTCAAATTGGAGTTCTGTTCCTTTCATTTACAACCTGTTTATTGGGGGAGAATTTTGAAGCGCATCAACTGAAGAAATCACTTTGTTTGGTCTTTCATGTCTTCCAGTCACCTTATCTGAGGATTTATGATCACAGTGTACCACATGACATCTCGCACAAGTAAAATTGTTGAGATGCACTGTTTGCATGTGCACCTCCGCGCCTCTCAGGCTAATATACGTCCTTAAATATGACCATTCATAGATCCGTCCAACATTGGATTCGCCGATGATCAAAGAATTTTGGTGCACTAAGTGTACACGCATGAACATCTCATGCACAAAGCTATAGATGAAATTAGGAACTTGAAATTCATTAGGATACTTGCAAGCTCAACTACATGACTGACTCCAAATGGTGCTTATTAGATTTTTGTCCATTTATTCCTCAAATAAGAGATAGTTAAAAGGCACCGGAGATACTTTACATCACATCTTAACCATGGGACACTAGTCCACAACAACTGCCAAGCGGTGGCGAACTAGCATCAGCCGTGGTGGTGGCCGCCTCCGGGACCATGGCCGCCAGGGCCATGTCCGCCAGGGCCATGCCCACCTGGTCCGCCGTGGCCGTGATCTCCTCCTGGCTTTCCGCCATGGCCTCCTCCATGGTCATGTCCGTGCCCGCCACCCGGACCACCAGGGCCTCCACCAGGACCACCGTGGCCTCCACCAGGACCACCACCCGGGCCTCCGTGGCCTCCACCCGGGCCTCCATGGCCTCCACCAGGGCCGTGACCGCCGTGGCCGCCGCCATGGTCATGTCCCTGTCCGCCCCCTGGACCTCCGTGGCCTCCGCCATGACCACCACCCGGGCCTCCATGGCCTCCGCCAGGGCCATGTCCACCTCCACCGCCAGGGCCGTGCCCGCCGCCGCCGTGATGGCCGTGATCAGACATTTTGGTTACTCTCTTTATCTCAAGGATATCCAGTCCTCCAAGGGAATGTTAGCTGAGAATGTGTGGTGGTCGAAGGCGGGAGATGTAGGGTTTTTATATAGGAAATGAAAGTGAGGGAGAGATATCCGACTGGTGTGACCAAAGGAGTCATGTGGAGGAAGAACGGTAGGTTTGGAGTGTACTGCCACGCGGCGAATGATTGGTGTCCCTTTTATCTAAAGATGAAAGTTCATGTTCCCCGCATTTCTGGCTTTATCCATCATCAAATCCGATTCAGCCATGTTTTGTTTTCTTGGTACTTGCGAAACTGGCAATTATTCCACGGACTTAAGGCTCTCCTTGTTCGAAAACTATTTATAAGAAATTATTTTCTGACTTTTCAACGTTTAGATAATGAAAAGCTTATTAATTTGTGAAAAATATTTTTCATGGGCTAAAAATAAATTTAGATTTGAGAAAAATGACTTCCTCTTCCTGACAAGAAAAAATTACTTTTCCTAAATCATCAAATAAATAAAAATTAACTATTTTTCGTTGAAAATAATTATCATATAAAGTATTTTCTTTTATCATGAAATTTTCAGTTCAATAAACTTACCCTAGTTGTTCAGTTCTCGTGTATATTATGCACCGTAAGATCTCAATACATGCCTAAATCTAGTCCTCGAAAAAACTTGTTCCTAATCTCCTCAAAAAAAAAAACCGTAACACGCAAACGCCCTCTCCTCATACCCCCGCAACAGCCCCTGCCAGCTGCCACGCCACCCTCCGCCATCGTACCCTAAGTCATCGCCGCTCCAGGCTAAGCCGTGCCGCATCGTCTAGGCCGAGCTACCCAAGCCATCGTGTCAGCCCCCTCCCTCTCTATGCTCATGCTCCGGCAGTCGAGTCTTGCCAACTCCTCCATGGCCGGGAGACTTTCCTCGACGACGTCGTTGTTGCGAGGCTCGGCCAATCAAATTGCTTTTAGAGGACAAATAAATCAGTTCAATTTGTTTTCCTTTTTTTCACTATTTCGATAATGTCAGACCATCTTTTCAAAAAGGATGGAGGCAAAATCGACTTTTCAAAAGGATAGAGACACGTTTAAGATCATAGTTGATTTGTGGGGAAAACATGTGGATGTGATCGCTTGAGGAAATTGAAGTTCATTTAACACGTCGCTTGTTGAAGTCCTTGCCGACAGACAGAGAAGGGTTCGTTGCTTCATAAATTTTTCCTGTATACTTGATCCAATTATTGAGGATCAGGAGTAGCACCTGGCACATACCATTCTTCTTCCTTTATCCAATATCTGTTTTCTATTTTTTTTTTATTTTATTTTGAGAAAATGCTACTCATCAAATATTGAGACTGTTCAAATGAAGAAGAAGAGAGGAGTGAGCCAGGCTTTTCATTGAAATGAGCTAAATGAATTGTAAATTTGTTCAGACTATACCCATTTAATATCCATATATTTCAGCCTCCTTGTTTTTAAAACCCATTATTACTGGTCCACAAAAATGAAAGTGACCCACTTAAATGTACATTGATTTGTAAATGGGTTTTGAACCCATTTTGAGAGGTGTATAATACACCTCACTAACAAAACTAAAACAAGTCACGACTACAAAATGTACAGCAACGTAAGGGCTGACGGATGAATTGCCTACCTTGTGATTGGATCATATATCCCCTGTCAGCCCTTTATGATTTGCTATACTCTGAAACTTTAAATTTATCTTCACTAAACTCTTTAAAATAAATGATACCAATATCTTTCTGACAAAAAAAAATTGTACAGCAACGCAGACTTCCCTGTCAGGCAACAGAAGTGGAAAGTACCTGGTAATATGAAAATAAACAGAGACAATGTGAATTTAAATATGCAAACCAAAGGCAAACCTTGCCAATAATCAGCTTCTCAATTCTGATTACAGATTAAGAAGTTCACAAAAGAATGATCTCAAAAGATCTATGCTTGATTTGGGACACTTCATAGCGTGCATGTCTGACGAGCAGCGGAGTCCAACATGGAGACATCTTCAGTGTACACCTTGCAACATATAAAGCTGATGCAGATGGCGGAGAAGGCTTACACTCTAAAGCCTTTGTATTCACCAAGCAAAGCTCGACAACATAAGATGGTTATTGAATAAACACAACATAAGTGTTCGAGCTGGCAGGAGTGACCAAGGCAATGAGAAGCATTCATGAGCTACTACTGCATACCTTTTGATCTGAATGAGCAGCTTTGAGAAACCTTCGCACAAGGGGTAAGCAAATTCAGATGAATTTTTCAGCTGCTTTAAGATTGATTTTTCCTGAAAAATATAACAAAAAGAAGCCATTACATGTTAACAGAGGCGATATTTTCCTGAACAATAGGCTTAGCGAATATGCAAAATGTTATGTAGGTCTAACTTTTGCTCTCCCTTCCCTCCCATTATTTTACTAGATGGTTGAAGTTTAAGAGGCCAAAAGCAATTATGACTTACGAGAAGAGGCCTTCTGTTTTCCTAATAAGTGCAAAGCAAAGTACATGTTTTCCAAGGAGAAGAGAATGGAAGCAGGTCTTTATGGCTCGGCCATGGTGATTGAACTCAATTCCTTAATTGAAGCAAAACTGTGGCTCAAAAGGAAGAAGAAAACAGTAAGTGGATTGCCAAGATAGAAGAGAGGCTACAGTTAATGCAGGACTCTGTAACCCAGGTGATTGAAGATTTCTCTCCCTTTGCCAAGCTGAGTTGTTCTGACAGAGTTCAATGTCCCCGAATTCATCGAGTATGAAGGTATTGGGGATCTGAGGATTCATTTGAAATACTATGTGTGCTGAAGATGTCACGGTACGTCGAAGACAAGTCCCTCATGATTCAAACATTCCACGAAAGCTTAACTGGACCTCAGCTCAAAGTACTGGCAAAATCTTCATTTTCAACTCTACCTGGAGTTACCACAGGAACTGCTCATTGAAATTTGGTGATCACTTCTGAAAGTAGTCACTCAGTAGGCCAAGATGCACTTTTTGATCCAGTCAATCACAAAGAAAGAGAAGCAAAGGCTGATACTTTCGGTGGCAGGGTAATGCAAATTGATGGCACATCAGTCATATATAGAGCATACGACAGGCTTTTGGGTATGTCATGCTCGTTATATTGTCTTTAAGTTTTCCATGAAGTGTTTTAGGTGGTCACCTGCTGAACCCCTCTACTTCTGATTTTGTTCTGAGGCTGACCTTTTTTTTGGTCGAATGTTCTGAGGCTGACTACATAGCAAATTTTGGTACTTCTCCTTGTATCCCAAATTTCTAATAAAAAACAGCATTGAAAATAGAATTTTTTTTATACTGCAGAAGAATTGCATCAACTGAACAAAGATTTAATAGCACCTTGACCAAAACCTTTGTTTACTATGGGATGGACGTAAGGAAAGTTAAAAGGGGAATTGCAGTTCTGAAACTAGATTTTGGTACATAGCATGGACGAATTTTCTCAGCTAAGTGAATATTGAAATAATAACTTCACCATGCCTTTATTTCCCCTTGTGATAATTTAGAGTTCTATTGCTACTCCTGCTACAGGCTAAAGCATTTCAACAAATGGATCAATCAAATTTTATCCCCCAGATACTACAACTCACTTCTTCCCATTCAGTAACAACCTGAGGTGTAAGGTTAACATCAAGATCAACTGCCTTATGAATGTAATCTGCAACCATAGGTATTATCATTGTCCCAAACAACAGCTAAAAATTACCTTTCTTCTCTCTCTCTCTCTCTCTCTCTCTCTCTCTCTCTCTCTCTCTCTCCATTTCATTCTTTTCATTTGCCTCACCTCCTGAATATCTTCCAAACACTTCCTTTTGTTGAAAAAGATTGAAGAGGAGGTAATGACGAACATGATTTTGGATATGATATCAATCAATTTAACATAATGATTTTGTACTTGCCCCCCTTTCTCATTGTTGATGTTGGAGTTCATCAAGTAGCCAATTGATGTTGCGTCCTTGTTCTCAGTTTGAGGGCCACTATTATCCTCTAAAAGCAATATTTCTCTAGGATTCTCACCCCAGTCGATTCAGATTATCAAATCTCATTTTTTATGCCAAATTTTCCCTTGGTGATCTTATTTATGTTCATCTTTGCTTCAGTTTCACTTTTTAATTTTGGGAAAGCTTTGAAATCCCTTCTAAGTTAGTTTATGCATACACTGAACCAGAACTTATGAATAGATAAACTGTAATTTCTGCACCAGATTGGAGAAGCCGTGATCTTGCTATATAGTAAAGAAATCCTCAAGACACCTAAACTTTTGCTGATCCTTTTGCAACATATGACCCCACCCTTTGACCATTTTGTACAGCCCTTTGATGCTAAATGGTAATTTTATTAATCCTTATTGAACATTTCTAATTTCTGCCAAAACATTAGATGAAGAGAACTCAAAACAGAACGTAAATTCTGTCGACTTCGACATCGTGTGGAGGCAAGAAACCACGAAGAAGATCGCAGACTATAAACTTCACTAATGGAAGGAGTTGGATGAGGGGCATAGAAGAAACTTCTCTTCATATAATGTGCTTGGATGGTGTCCAATTGAGACTAGCCTAGTTTGCTTTCGTTTTCTTGTTGATGATCAGAAGTAATGGGAAGCGTTGTGTTCATGTTTATATCATCTCTCGTCGTGACTGGTCTGTTGATGAACGATGCTTGTGAAGAAACATGCTTCTACTTTGAATCTTACATTGGAATTATGTTTCTTTCATTTGTAAACTGTTCATTAACCCAAGTCTTTCCGTCCAACACGTGATTCGCCGGCGATCCAAGAATTATGGTGCACCAAGTGTACACGCATGAACATCTCACGCACAAAGCTATAGATGAAATTAGGAACTTGAAATTCATTAGGATACTTGCAAGCTCAACTACAGGACTGACTCCACATGGTGCTTATTAGATTTTTGTCCATTTTTCCCTCAAATAAAAGATAGTTAAAAGGCACCGGAGATACTTTACATCACATCTCAACCATGGAACGCTAGTCCACAACAACCGCCAAGCGGTGGCGAGCTAGCATCCGCCGTGGTGGTGGCCACCTCCAGGACCATGGCCGCCGGGGCCATGTCCGCCAGGGCCATGCCCGCCGGGGCCGTGGTCTCCTCCAGGCTTGCCGCCGTGGCCTCCACCATGGTCATGTCCGGGTCCTCCGCCCGGACCACCATGGCCTCCGCCCGGACCACCGGGGCCTCCGCCAGGTCCACCGTGGCCTCCGCCAGGTCCACCGTGGCCTCCACCAGGGCCGCCACCACCCGGGCCTCCATGGCCTCCACCCGGGCCTCCACCAGGACCGTGCCCACCGCCGCCGTGATGGCCGTGATCAGCCATTTCGGTGACTCACTTTCTCTCTCTCAAGCTTGATCTCCAAAGGCGTGTTAGCTGAGATTGTGTGGTGATTGAAGATTGGGAGCTAAGCTATGGGGGTTTATATAGGAAATGAGTGACAGGGGGTGACAAATATCAGACTGGTGGTGGTGACCAAAGGGAGAGTCACGTGGAGGAAGACCAGTGGCTTAAAAATGTAGTGCCCACGCGGCGACTGATTGGTGTCCTTCATGTTCCCCGCATTTTAGGCTCTATCCATTATCGCATCGCATCGCATCCGCGTCGGACATTTTTTGTTTTCTTGTTGCCTGTGAAACTGGCAATTATACCCCGCCGAAGATACAATAAATGAGAGAGGAAGAAGACGTGCTCAGCCAATGTCAAGGTTCTGTTCCAATCTTCATTAGCTTTTGCACCTTGTTTTTCTATCAAAGTCTTTCAATTCGGTTTGTGTTTTTAATGGTTAAGTGTTCAGGTTACGTGTATATTCTGTGGCAAAGCATCGCGATACTTGTCTAACTATAGTCCTCGAAAAAACCCGTCCTAGATCCCCCACCGAAAAAACCGTAACACCCAATCCTCCTCGCTCTCCTCATACCTCCCCCCGCCTTCGTACCTAAGTCGCCGCCACCCCAGACCAAGCCATGCTGCGTCGTCTAGGCCGAGCTACCCAAGCCATCATGTCGGTCCCCTCCCCCTCTATGTTCATGCTCCGGCGATCGAGTCTCGACGGGCTCCTCCATTGCCTTGAGACTACTAGACTCGACGACGACGTTGTTGTTGTTGCGAGGCTCGGCCAATCAAATTGCTTTTGGAGGACAAATAATTCAATTTTTTTTCCTTTTTTTTGCTATTTGGATTGTGTCAGATCAACTTGTCAAAAGGACAGAGACAATCGACTATTCATAAGGATAAAGACACGTTTAAGATCATCGTTGATTTGTGGGGAAAACATGTGGATGCGGTTGCTCGAGGAAATTTAAGTTCATTTGATACATCACTTATTGAATTCCTTGCCGACAGATGGAGAAGGGTACGTTGCTTCATAAATTTTTCGTGTATACTTGGTCCAATTATTGAGGATCAGGACCAGCACCTCATACATACCATTCTTTTTCCTTTATCCCCTCACTGTTTTTGTGTTTGTGAAAATGCTCTTCATTTAGGAAATTATCAGCATGAGCCTGTTCAAATTGTTTTTCAGATGATTGGAATTGGAATCTTAAAACTGGTATAAGGATCCAATGGCTCAAATGACTAAAAATGACTAAAAATGGACATTGAGGTCTAAAATATAAGGAAAAAAGGAAAACATGGAGGAAGTTCCAAAAGGATCATGAAAGTTCAAGAAAATGGAGATTAAGTTTCGATAGTTGAGAGTGTCCCTAGATGGTACATGTTAAGAAAACCTTCAACCTATATATTAATCTTTACCGCTTAGCATCTACTTTTCATTTTCACTTGGATAAGAAAGTACAAAATTCGTCCTAAAATTGCCATCGAGGATTAGCTCGAAGATCCTATCCCTTATAAAATGAAGTAGATCATATCTCTTATAAAATAAAATACATCAACCCAAATTGAATATGAGCAATAGTACATAGGGACCATTTTGTGTAGCCTTCCCTCAATTTTTTGTTTTTTATTTCATGTCGGAGCCAATGTTCACATTCAGTGCTCAAATTGGTATTTTCCGTCAACTTTTTATACGAAATATAAAATTCGTCACGAAATCAATAGTGATTAAAATATTACTTTAGAGTCCAAAATCATCACAAATTAAAGTGCAAGGACCAAATTTGGATGGTGGCAAACAATAACACGTCGACGATTTTTACAATTTCTTCGCATTTCATTCATCTTTTCCGCTTTCCAATCGCTCTCCATTTTTCATCCTCCACTTTAATAATGCGCACCTTTTCTTTCAGCTTTTCTATTTTAGCCTTAAATTATTCGTGCCAACATCTATTTTTGAGTCTTTTATTCATCTAAATTTTAAAGGTCAAAAACGTGATTGATTTGTGACTCTGCCGACAGGCGCCAGTCCCCATCACTAGTCTTGATATTGCAAAATAAGATAATGTTTTGTAATTCGGCGTTTTCTAAGCCACATAAATTATTGTTTTTTGTTTTTCTTATAAAGAACACATAAATATCTCAGTACTCGGTGGATGAAGAGGGAGGGAAGATGGAAGAAGAGAGAGAATTGCAGCAAATTTACTCATGAATTTCTGTTGATTTGGGAATAGGGAGAACTTTTATCTTATTATGGTGTCCTAATTTATCTCAAATTATTGACTATTTAAAGTGTATTAAGCATACGCAACATCAGAGAGGCACGTGTCAAGAATCTACGCACAAATTAAGACATATAAACGATCCACGGTTCGTCAATTTGGCCTGCGATCTTAACCCTGACCCTGAACAGTTTATAAGTGATAAGCGAGATTTAAACAGATGGCCTCAAACTTTTGAAGTGGAATTTCTTTTGTCAAGTCTCCGGGGGATAATTATAAAAAAAAAAAGTTATCAATTTATTGTACAACAGCTAATTTAGTCATTAACTTATTAATTTAGATAATTTAACCCTGAACTTTTTCACGATTTACCAACATAGTTCTTTCAAAATCACTTACGTGGACGTCGGCCGTTCTACGTGGCACGACTGATGCTGGCGTAGAAGATTTTACAATTTTTTTAAAAAAAAATTTCCTTCCTTTTTCTTCCTTTCCTTTTCTTTCCTTATTCATTTTTGGGAAAAAGTCATAAAAAGCTCTAAACTATGCTCACTTTAACATATTTACCATAAAATTTCTTTTGTGACACAATAAATCTCAAACTTATATTTGTGTGACACATTTACCCTAATTATGTACCCGTGTGACACATTTACCTCATATTTATACTCGTGTGACATATTTACTCTAAATTTATATCCGTATGACACATTTATCTTAAATTTGTATACGTGTGATACATTTACCTTATATAACTACATGGACAACGGAAGGTAAACTTAGCTGACGTGGTGCTCACGTGGATTGTTAATTCATTGTATGCTTTTATTTTCTTGTTTTCTTTTTTTAACTTCCTCCTTTGTTTTCTCCCTGGGTTTGGCGAGGATGAGGACGGTGGCTATGGGCCTATGGCAACTGTAAGAACGGTGGTAGTGGTGAAGACGACGGAGGAAGGAAAAAATAAAAAATGAAAAAAAAAATATTAACAAAGGATAAATGTGTAGCGTGGGTCTAAGTTTGGGATTTTTTGTATCATAAAAGATAAGTTTGGGCTGAATATGTCACGTAAATACAAGTTTTGGATTTTTTATGTCACAAATAAAAGTTTGGGGTAAATATGCCACAGGGTAAATATGTCACGTGGGTACAGTTTTAAGATTTTTGATATCACAAAAAAAAGTTTGGGGTAAAACGTGTTACACTAGACATAATTTGAGATTTTTCGTGACTTTTACTATTCCTTTTTCTCTCTCTTATTTCCCTTTATCGGTTGCTAGGGTCTCGACGATGCTTGGCCACGGGCGAGGGTTGCCCTTGCATACCGCAGCCCCTACCAAAGGCCGACATCTAGCGAAGGCTACCTTGCCAGATCTGGCGAGGGCGACCCTCACCCGTGGTAGATGACCTTTGCCAGCCATCGCCAAGGCTTGGTGATCGATAGAGGGAATTAGGGGAAAAAATAGTAAATAAAAAATTTAAGAAAATTTTTAAAAAAATTTCAAAAATCATTCGTGTTAGCACTAGCCGTGCCCGTGCCACGTAAGATGGTTTGTACTGACTAGACTGCTATGTTAACGATTTCCAGCCAAAATTGACTGGAAGGACTACATTGGCATATCATCAAAAGATTGAACATTAAATTAATCAAATTGAAAAATTTAGAATTGAATCGGTAGTCATTTAATAGATTTGGGATTTTTTGGACAATTTTCTGTTTCCAGCTATACCGAAAATTGTTCACTAATCTCTTTTCGTGGGTATGTTGTCGGGAGCTAATTGGACTTTAACATGCACCTATCTAATGAACTCTTTCTATAAAATTTTGTGGTGGCTTCATGATCATCTCTCACGTATCGAGACGCACTTGGCCTTGCGCACAAATTAAATTTAGGGCAAAATAAGGAATCTCTGCCAAAAAGAGCATATTCTTTATTCCTTACAGAAAGCAATGCCCATACTTTAATACTAGCTAGTACCATGTACGAAAGAGCCGACAGCATTCCAAAAACAAAGACAAAATTTCAGTCTTATAGTACTCTTGTAAGATGTGATTTCAAACTGTAAGATGCAATCCGACGTTCGAACGATTGGAGGATCCTATGCCAAGTTGTGTAAAATTTGACTTCTTGTTACCAAGACTTTTGGAAAGAAATTTGCAAGGAAATCAAAAGGGATTGCCATCGTAACGAACCAAACCACGCTAAGTACAAAGAACAACATAAAGGGGCTGCCCGCCACCCTATGGGGCAGTTCCCTTACACGACGCGAACGGACGGGTGACGTATCCACAGGAGATCGATCCAATCAAAGTAACTCCTCATGTAATGTAGAAAGGATTTCAGAGAGCTTCGTAGTGCTTCTCATGTCTTTGAAAGACTTAGAGTTAGAGCTTGCTAATGTATCTTCTGGGCCTTACTCCATATGAAGCTCGTCTTCCATTCTTATTAGGCTTCTAAATGGGCCAACCTCATTCCAATTAAGAATTTTGTACATGTCTCATTCTACAACAGCCTTGCATTTGGGCTTTAGATGTACCCGGGCCTATTAAGAATCTTTGTCTTGCCAACCCCTCGATGAACGTCGGATAAAAAAAGAGAGTGAATCTGGTCCGCTAATTGTAAAACCTTTAGGTTGCGTTTGGTCCTTTAGATCTCTAGCCAGGATATGACTGGATATGATAGGATTTGAATTCAAGGGATTTGTTA